GTGGAGTCGGCGCTGGCCGCGGTGACCTTGGGCAGGCCACCCGCCTTCCTATCTCAGACCTCGGGAGGGGACAGAGGGAAGCCCAAGCTTGCCCGAAGCCGACGGCCATGGCGGTTACCGTGCGTCGCCTCTACCTCAGGCCTGGCTAGGGGAGGGTCGCACAGTGTCACCCTGCAACGGCACCGAGTCACTCCCCACCACTCAGTCGTCTGCCTTCTGCTGCCTAAGCTGTTGCTGAGCAGCAGGTTGGAGAGGGAAAGGTCCTCCCAGGAGCCCCTCGCCTCCCAGAGTCTGTGGGCCCAGCCACCAGTGAGACAAGCCGCCATCGAAAAGTAACACGGCCCCGCCTCCAGCCTGTAGCTGGAGCAGCGCTGTCCTATAGAAAGAGCGTGGGAGCCACGTAGGTAATTAAAATTCTAGTAGCCACATTAGAAACGTGGCTTTTAAAATTTTGAATTTTACCAATATATTGCATTTAGCCCAATAGATAAAAAATATTAACATTCCACATGTAATCTATATAAAAAATTATGAATGAGATATTTTACATCCTCTTCTGCAGGAAGTCTTCAAAATCCGGTGTGTGTTTCACACATACAGCACATCTGATTTGGCCTGGCCACATGTGGCTAATTGGACAGCACAATTCTAGAGCTTTCTCTTTGAGCGCTTACCTAAAGTAGAGCCTCACCCGGTTTTTTTACGTGGAAAGTTGAGAAAGGACACAGAACTCAAGTTGTCCGGGCAGAGCCAGGCCTCAAAACTGGAACCACTGCAAAGTTTGGGGGCTTTTTGGAGCAAACGTTTCCTCATTTCTCCACATGTGAGCCAAACTGCCTTTATTGAGCCTCACTGGGGTGACTGGTTCTTTCCCACTGGAGTTAAGCCTTATAACCATGCTAAGAGCGGGAAGAAACAGATGCTGAGAACTTTCTCGGTAGTTGCTTCAAGGTCATATGTGAGATGTGAGCATAGGCTCATTTGTCCCCAAAGTTTGGACTTTAACCCTCAAGGGCAAATTGATATTGGAGTGGTCAAGAGCACAGGCCATTGGGTCATTTCCTGGTTGGGTTTCGTTGAGTACATTCATGAGCCCTTCTAAGCCTCAGTTTCCTCACCCGTCAGATGGGGATTTTGTGAGGATTCCAGGAGGTGCTGCAAATAGAAGGCCCTATTAGGTTCTCAAAAATAATGGTAACTGTTATTATTACCACATATCTTTGTTTTTCTGCTGCCATTAACCTCTCTGGTGCTCTTACCCCTGAAGTCTTTTATTCAAAGAGTTCTTCTGTGGACAGAATTGTTGGATCCTACAAATTTGGTTGTTTCAATTGTAAGTATTTTCTTGTTTTCAGAGATAGTGCATTTCACATTGAATACTGAAACATGAAAACTGTGTTCCTTTTGAAAGCAGGTGAAATGACAGAAACTGTATATATTGTCATGTTTTTGTTCCTTCCAAATGAGCCTGTTGGATTGGAAAGGTGGAATGTAAAAGTGGACATCCATTTAACAGGCAGTCCAAGACTTGGCCCAGTGCTGGTGGTTTAAAAGTGATCAAAACAAGCCTCCTTGGTCATGGAGGATGGGACCTCGGGCTCTAGGGTAAAGTGTAGCAGGGAACTGGGGGAGGTTGTTGAGGGAAGGCTGGGAGGGAGGGGCAGGGAGAGTGGACTGTAAGCAAAGCCCAGTGGGGGAGAACATGTCGCCTGGTCCCTGGGGCTTTTAATTCAGGGGAACCAGGCAGTTCTTGAAGGTCCTTGAATGTCACTTAGAGAAGGGGGGTTCATACCTCACCTGCAGGGTGAGGCAGTGAGGTTCGATCCCCAGTACCTCCATTAAAGTAATGATAATGATAATAATAATAATAATAATAATAATAATAATAATACCCTAATTACCCCCCCAAAAACAAAATTTTAAAATTTAATAAAACTTTAAAAAAAGAAAACAAGATGCATATAGTGCAACATTTATGCAAATTACAACATAAAAAACCAAAATTACATATTTGTTTATGGATACATGTATTCATGTATGTATAGATATAAACAATGATCTGGAAGTTTGTACCCTGAATTCATAATAGTGATTACCTCCCATAGAATGGGGAGGGAATTGAGACTGGAGGTAATGGACCTTTTTGGGAAAAAAATCAGCGGCAAATATAACTGAATATTCATGGTTGTTAATTCTGGGTGAGGGGATTATGAGTATATAATCATTCTTTGTATCTCCTGTATTTAATTTTTTTTTAAAGAAGAGAAGAGATAAGACTGAACTGATTAGATGTGGGGGTGAGTGAGAGAGAAGGGACTTCCAGGTTTCTAACTTGTGTAACCAGGTGGATGGTGGTATCACTCATTCACTGAAATAGTGGACATCGGAGAAGAACAGTGTGGGGCAGGAAATGGCAGCACCAGTGGGGTAAGCTGCTGGAAATGTCTAAGAATTTGGGTGGTCTGAGTCTGAATGGCATACAGGACTGTCTAATGGAATCTGTGGATAAATCTGAACAACGTTGAGATCATCGCTTGATTTCTTAATATCTGATTCCAGGAAAAAATAGAAAAATCGAGGCAACTATTGTTAACAAATGAAGATGCATCCAGGGGTGACTTGGAGGACAAAAGGGTATGTCTCCTGTGCGCAGGTGTGCCTGGCTCAAGGCTGGGTGTGGTTGCCTTCAGGTGATTCTGCTTGCATGGTCTCAAATCAGGTGGGATTTTGTCAGTAGGGTTAGCTTTTTAAGTATAGTTAGAATTCCTTCTGATAAACCAGATTAAAATTAGTAGGAATTGTATGAAGGAGAAAAAGCATAGGGTTCCTCCTGTGCAGCAGACACTAGTGGTCATTCCCTGTAGCAGATTCCTAGAGGCCCATGGCAAATTCCAGCATTCAGGCAGGCCTCCCAAGTCAGAACTGACTTCCTGTTAGAGGCCATGTTCCGGGGCGGGGTTACAGTCCTGCCTAAGGACTCACACCAAGCATTTGTTATCTACCTTGCAGTGTCTGGGGCTTTCCAGGGCCCACAATCATCAGTCCCATGAGACAGCCTGCGGAAAGCTCACATATTTAACTTGGTTTTTCTAAGAACTTGCTGGGGCCTCTGGGCTCACAGCCTGGCTCTTTAGCAAGTGACTTGGCTAATGGCGTGGTTTGCCACAGCCCGCTCTGCTCTGAGCCAGGGGAGGCTGGCTGCATTCAGGTCCTCACCTGAGTGACAAGTCAGGTGTTGGCCTTGAGTCCTCTCCAGGGTCAGAGACTAGGGGCTTTTTATAGTGTTCTGATCATTTTCATGTGGATCATCTCTTTGCTTCTGATTAGTTCATTTGTTCATTCATTTAATTCATTTGTTTTGATTTGTTTGGTCCACTTGGTAGAAAACAGTTCGCTGCTTCACAAAGGTGGCACCAGAAATGAGAGGAGATGCTTTGGCTGCCAGGGCACCTTTAAAAAGGCTATCGCTTGTTTTTTTTCTCTTTAGATACAAGAAGCCTGGAAGAGAAGTCTTGTAAGTTTCAGCCCTGTCCTAATTTTTAGCCTAAAATAACAAAAATCAAACATCAGACTAACCTTCCTGTTTACCCTTCTGAAGTCGACAGTACATCCTGACAATAGCAAGCTGATCCCCGGTCCTTTTCGACCGGCAGGTGAGTTGACTCTAATTTTCACAAGTGGTTTGTAACTGTTTCAAACCTTTGCCTCCCTCTAGTCACATGGTTGGTTCCCCTGGCAACCAGCCCCCTTCCTTAGGTGCTTTCCAAAAGTCATCTCATTGACACTATCTCAAATGTGGCTGAAAGGGGCTTGTTATGAAGAATAAAAGATGCTCTTTTCACCTTATTACTCTTCTCACTTAGGAAATTCCAAGGTTTTTAGGCTCTCTGTGCCAGAACAGGGACAAAAAGCCAATATGCATGTCTTATTATTAAGTCACAGCATCAGATGCATTGAATTCACGCGGAAGGATGAACCAGGACTTGGAACAAGTGATGGTTTACCTTCCGTGAGAGGGAGCCTGGTCAGGTCTTTCTCTACGGTGTTGATTTAGAGTTTTACCATATGCATATGGTTATTATTTTTATTAGGAAAAAAAAAATGAGTGAAAAATACTCTTTGATGTCCATGCCTTCAGTTGGCCAGAAAAGAGGTTTTGGGATGGGCGGTGCCCCTTTCTGCCCTCTCTGCGGTCACTGACCCTCTTTTTTTTTTGCCAGCTCTCCTGCCTTTCACGGCGCCCATGGTGAGTAAGCTACTGCTCACCGTTTAGAAGCCGGGGCTTTAGGAAGATGTCCACCCATCTCCCAAGCTTGGTGGCTGGTGTCTTCCAGCTCTGGACCCCTGATACATGGTTATGGATCCCCAACCTCTGACCCTCGTCTACTCCCCACCCCACCCCCACTTATCCAGCCGGGCACCTGGGCCTCTTGAGGGTTTCTTTGAATACCTAATGTGTGCAAGTCACTACGGAGAAGATGGATGAGTTAAGATGTGCTCCCTGGCATAGGCCCGTGTGATTGTCCATCACCTTCTCTCCCCAAGCCTCCCCCATCGTGCAGGCCCTCTCCTGGAACCCGGAATTGCTCCCAGCAAGGCCATCTGACCTTGGCTTTCACGAGGTGTTTTCACCAAGTGAGAACAGCCTCCACTCTTGCAAGTGCTGCTTCTCACCCCCTGCTCCATGGCACGGGGACCACTGTCAGGCGGCCGGGTGCTCTCAGTGCCTGTGGGTGCCCATCCAACATCACATGTCCACCGACCACTAGCCCCCCGCATCTGCTCCTTCCCCTCCTTGCCCCAGCTCCTGAGGGCTCAGTTCTGCATCTCCCTAGGGAAGTTCTTTGCTCTACAGGCTCTCCCTCCCCCCAAACACTCACAGCTTTGCTTTCTTTCCTTTACAGGTGTTTTTGTCAGTGCTGCCAGTAAAAAATCTAAAGTCCATGATTTTACCGCAGGTAGCACTTCCTCCCATTTCATGATCACTGAATTTTATTGTGCTTAAAACCAAAATGTGATGTATTAGCCTCTGTCTTCCTGCAGGTTTCCTTCTACACCTACAGTACAGTCTTCAGCATCGTCAATGGAAATGCAAGTTACGTGAGTATCACGAGGCCCAGGGGGCTGCAATTTTGTATTATTTCTTTTGGAGTTTGTGTGTGTGTGTGTGTGTGTGTGCGTGCATTTGTTTTAATTATCTTTTCTGGGTAAAACTATGGTATTTGCTAAATATGAACTTTTGTTTTTCCCTAGAATCGTCGCCCCTATGAGAGTATATTACTTGGGGCAGGAGTAATCACTTCCTCTACCTTTTTTGGAGTATGTATTTTAAAAATATGTCGAATTTTTGTATTTCTCAGAATCATAATTTTATGTGCTACCTCAATTTAGAAAGCATGATTACGACATAAAGAAGGAAATATGTCATCTGGAATCCTATCACTCCCAAATTATCATCTGATTTTTCCAAGTTTCTAGGCATATGCTCAGTACTGTTATCTTTTTAAAAAATTAATTCATGCTGTATGAACATGTTATACACATTGTATATTGCTTTAGATGTCAGGACGCTGTTATGGTTGAAAATGTAGACTTTAGAGTCTGATAAGCCTGGGTTCACATCTTGGCTCAAATCCTTAACGACTTAGTGACTCTGGAAAAGTTCTGCAGCCCGAGCCTCCGTGTATTTCTCTGATGATCAGGAAGAACGAGAATGAAAATGAAAAATACACGGAGGGCACTTGCTGGGGTCTGACCTGTAATGGGAACTAAGTTGACGCTAGCTCCCTTCTGTCACATGTGTTCAGCTGAGTTTTTGGTCCTGTGCAACAGTGATTTTTGTCTCTTATTTTCTAGTTATTACCTCGTTTGCTGCAAGTAAAGTTTTCACTGAGTAGCATTTTGAGCAGAAATGTCTTTCCTGTCGTCATGCTCGGTAAGCAGGGAGCCTGCCGCCTTTGTGGATGAACACAAACCCGGAAACACACATTACATTTTAAAGACTCTCTGTACAAGCCTTCTTCATGTCTTAATTCACTTGATCCTGACAACTCATGGGCGGATAATATTATTATTCCCATTTACAGATGAGGAGACTGAGGCCGGGGGAGGTTAAGGAACTTTCCTAGGGTGAGGCAGGGAGGAAGGGGTGGTATAAGGGACTCCAACCCAGTGGTCTGACTCCAAGGGAGTGACAGAGGTATTAACCAACCCTTTTAAGTTTGCCAGCCTGCAAGTTCACTCGTTCACACTCCACATTTGGGTTTGGGAATCAGAGCAGCCTGAAGGGTTGGCAGAATTACGTCAGTGGTAACACTGGGAAATTATGTTACAAAAACCTCGTCTAACCAGCTTAAGCCAAGAAGGCAGGCATATTTCAAGGACCTTGGTTTCTCTGGGAATCCTGCCAGGGGTGTTGGAACCTGGTGCTGGGTGGTAGTCAGGACTCAAGACTGAGAGGCCAGTGGGGAGGGTATAGCTCAGTGCTAGGCTCTGCTAGTGCTAGAACCCCTGATGTCCTGGGTTCAATCCCAGTATCTCCATTAAAAATGAATAAATAAATAAATAAACCTGATTACCTCCCCCATCAATCAATCAGTCAATCAATAAAAATTAAAAAAAAAAAGACTGAGAGGCCAGAAGCTCTGACCCTACTCCTCAGCCCACGGGAGAGCTCGGGTGGCCCAGTACCTGTCAGGTGAGCACCTGGCGACCAGGAGGCACAGCTGTCAAAGAAAGAGGCACGACACTCGGAAAGATGTTCCTCCATTAGACCAACGCTTGTCCCTCTGTGTCGTCTTTCCACCCACAGCCCAACTCAGTGGAATGAACGTGATTGCCTCCCGAAGTCTGGAGCCCATGCGAGGGATTGAGGTCATGGACAAGGAAGGCAATGTCATAGGCTATTCCAGAAAAGCTGGGACCAAGGTAGGGGGACACAACGGAGCCGTGAGCTGTTTGCCTTTTGAGCAAAGAACTGCATTTTCTGTTTGAGAGCTGGTCACAAATTCATGTCTCCCTTCATTCTTTCATCTGCCTTCCCTCATTATGCTGAGGGAGAGATTCTACATTTTGTGCCCTGATGTTTGAAAGGTGACGTGTTAGTCTGGGTTCCCAAGAAAAAAAGAATCGACAGAGATAAACAAGTTCATATTGTACAGCACAGGGACCTATATTCAAATATCTTGTAGTAACTTATGGTGAAAAAGAACATGAAGACGAATATGTGTGTGTTCGTGTATGACTGAAGCATTATGCTGTACACCAGAAACTGACACATGTTAAACTGACTACACTTCAATGAAAATATATATACAGAAAAAAATAAAAGAACAAACAGGCTATCTGCCTATTTGTCTGTCACCTACATACATTTCCAATAATTGGCTCACACAGTTGTAGCACCAGGAATATGTAGGGTAGGCCTGCAAGCTGGAAACTCAGGGGCTGAGAATTTCTTCTTTGGGAAACTTCAGATTTTGCTCTGAACACTTTCCAACCCAATTGGATGAGGTCCATCCACACTGTGGAGAGTAATCAATCTCCTTTACTTGAATTCTACGGATTGTAGCTGTTAATCACATCCACAGCACACCCCCACCACAACACCTCGATTCGTGTTTGATTAAATAACTGGGAATTACAGGTGGACCCGTAAGACTGACCATCACAGATGGGCATCCGCCAAACACTAGCCCTTCTTTGAGTGTGAGGTCTTGTCCTTCAAGCTCAGCACCCGCCCTCCCAGCCTGCTCTGTACTCGTGGAAGTCAGTGGACACCCTCTCTGGGTTTAAGAGAAGCCTCCCTCCCCACCTCCCGGCAGATTTTCTTAGAGTCTTCGTCTTGAAGGACCAATTTGCTGTCAAGGATGGCCTGAGGAAATCCAACACTCTGACCTACAACTCTTCTAAAAGGCCTCCCATTTTGAGTTTTTTTACTGTTAAATAGTTTGTTCTTTTGCTCCATTCAATATAAAAGCTTCTGTCTGCATTCAGCTCAGAGAACTTGCACTAACCTGTGGTTCGTTTTGAGTATAAACTTAAAAAATACCTTTTCGGGGGTGGGGGCTATATAGCTCAGTGGTAGAGTGCGTGCTTGGCGTGCACGAGGTCCTGGGTTCGACCCCCCAGTGCCTCTGTTAAGGGGCAAAAATACCTTTTAAGCAAGTGGGATCTTTTTTGGTCTCTGTGAAGTGATTTTAGCCAAAGAATTGTAACATAGGCAATTGTTTGCAAAGTATAGAGAGTAGTTGGGCCTCTCACTGTGTCCTCGGTCTGGGGGCCTCTCTGAGCCCGCTGGGCCTCCTGCCCAGCCTGTCGGTGGAAAAGGGGGTCAGAAAAGATGGCTTCTCATTCAGTCCATAAATCTGTCGTTATTGGGCTCATGAAATATGTTGCTGTAAATCCTATCACTGATTTACAAAGTTGAATTATAAACCATCAGATGCATGCTACAAGTATTTCCACTAGTGCATCTAATAGCATGTCTGGAAATAGTGGCCACCTCAGTGAATTACAGTAAGGACATGAAAATTGCAAGTCACAATGAGAGAAATTACTGCCAGAAATGAAATACCTCGTTTTTGAAATGAAGGTCCTGTGCCTAAGAATCTGCCCTAAAGAGACATTTTCTAACACTTTTATTGAGGAGGAATTTACATGCTATAAAATTAATTGGAAGACTATAGTTTGATGGATTTCAGTAAATTTAAACAGTTGTACAAACATCACCACAGTCCAATTTTAGAACACTTCATCGCCGTGAAAGTTTCCCCTGTGCCCATTTACAGTCACACCCCTTCCCACCCCCAGCCTCAGGGAAACGCTGGTCTGCTTTATGTCTTCATAGGTTTGCCTTTTCTAGAAATTTCCTACAGGTATATCATACAATATTTTTGTGTCTGGCTTCTTCAACTTTTGAGGTTCATCCATCTTTTAATGTGTCAGTAGTGTGCTGTGTGGCTTAGAGTCGCTGAGCAGTGTTCCGTTGTATGGATGGACCACATTTTGCTTGTTTACTCCCCTGGCGATGGACATTTGGACTGTGTCCAGTTTTCGGTTGTTATGCGTCATGCTGCTCTGAACGCTCATGGGCGACTTTGTGTGTGGAGGAATGTTTGCATTTCTCTTTAACTCAATTTTAACTGCAGGGCATAAATATGCCAAAGAGAACAGTGAGAGCGAATGTTTACTCCACAAGTTGTTCCGCAGCACCTCCTGCCCGCCAGGCGCTGTGCTGGGCTCTGGTGACCCAAGCCCTCACCAGTCAGAATCCCTTCTCCCCAGGAGCTGCGGGGAGGTGGCCTCGGCCCCGCTGGCTCTCCAGTTCTCTATCCCATCTTGTCCAGAGGAGTGCCGTTTTTTGCATGAAGGCCAATTTAGGGTAAAAGAAAGGTTTGATGATCTGCTTAAAAAAAAATTTATCTTTCTCTTAAGAATAAAGTGACTGCGACCATGCATAAGCATTAGCATTCTTTTATCATTTCCCTGTTGCCGGAAGGTATCTTTTTTTTGGCTAAAATTTCAGAAACTACGTAACCAGCGATATCTGATTGTAATAGGGCACCTTTGATCAGATTTCAGGAGCCTCGAGCACGTCGTTTTCCTTTGACTGGTCTTGTCAGCCCGTCAGTTGCAAACTGTCACACGCGTCTCCCCGGGCCTCCTCATGATCGGTGTCCAGTCTGGAATGTTTTCTCTTTCCACACGAGACAAATGGAGAGAGTCTGGCCTCGCCCACTGACGTCGAAACACGCTACACTCTGCAGCCACTTTTTTGTTTTTAAAGAAGTGAAAGCTTCTCAGCTCACTTCTTTTTATTTTTTATTTTTTTGGGAGGTAGGGGGAGGTAATTAGGCTATTTACTTATTTATTTATTATTATTTTGATAGAGAAACTGGGGATTAGGCTCAGGACCTTGATGCATGCTACGCACTCACTCTACCACCGAGCTACACCCTCCCACTCCCTGCAGCCACTTTCCTCTTCCTGGAGTCAAGTGACTTTATTTTTCATTCCTGAAAGTTTATTTTGAAAGCCACCCTCCTTGATGCCCTCTGTCCTCCTGAGGAAAAGGCAATCCCACAGAGGATCGCGGGAGCTGAGTGTTAGTGTCCTAAGCAGAGAATAGGGTACCGGGCACAGCAGAGGAGCCGGGAAGCAGGCTGTAGCCATGGAGTCATGGGAGGCCGGAAGCGTGAGGAACAGAGCTCAGGGGAGGGAATGGTGGAGTGACTGCCTATTCATCTCACACTAGGTGGTGCCAGGTGTGCAGTCAGTTGTGTCTTATCGGGGGTTGAGCTCTGAAGTTGGCATGTGAGTGTCATCTGTAGTCAGAATTTCCCTTGAATGTCTCTTACGTTGCCCTTGAGTACACATGACTTTGTGCATATGACCCATATACTGTAAATTACATCTTTAAACGTTCAGTATAGAGAGTAATGTATATTATTTAAAAGTGACAAAATGTTATAAACTATACATGCATGTTTGTGCAAAAGAAAATTTTATAGCGTACTTTTAACTACACAAGGAAAAGATGGGCACATACAGGTAGACTCGTGCAAGTTACGTGTGAGTGTGTTGCCTCGCCAGTGCACTCGGAGCTGGACGTTTGGAGGATTCCTTCACTAGAAGGGGTGGGAATAACTGGGGAGTTGCTCAGGAGAGGAAGGCCAGTGGCAGAGTCCTGGACTGAAAGGAAAACATGGAGTGGTCCTCGGTGGCAAATCCAGTATTTCCACCAAAGGCGCTGCCATTTGGTTCTGAGTAAGGATTTGTCTGCAAGCTGCCTGTGCTTGTACTTAGTGAGTATCTCGTTTGGGGTGGCTGGTGGGAATGATGGAGACCTTGTAGAGTCAGAGGAGGTAAATTTCGTCTCTGGTTACTCCGGGCACCAACCCCGGGCATCTGTGTCAGGTGCTGGCTCCACCTCTTTGCACTTGATTATTTTTCTAAGCGGGAAGGGAGAGAAGTGGTTTACTGGTCTCTGTCATGAGTTGCAAGATCCCTGGAAGTCCTCTCACTCCATGTGCTAAGCTGCTCTCTTTTCATTTCCACCAGGCTGTTAAAGATACAGCAACATCCAGAGTTGTGCTGTTTGGGACCTCAGCTTTTATCCCCGAAATCTTCTCATACTTCTTTAAAAGGTAAGAGGTACGCTCATCTGCCTGAGTAGGAATAAACATTTTGATAGTCAAAGTCCATATAAAACTTGTCAAATCCTGAATCTGGTGGGAAGGGTGGGAAGAAGTTGCTTCAAGAATCTTCCAACTGCTCTTCATCACAGGTAAGACAGTAGGATTGATTTAGGGCAGCTATGGAAATGCTGATTTGCATATTCCAATGACCCTGGAATCTCGCCCAGGCCCTGTCCTCAGTGACTTCTGCTCCTGGGGCGTGTCCCGGCACCTGCTGAGGCTTGTCTCCTCACTTCTACAATGATGAGTTTGGATGATTTGTAGGCTCTCCCACCTTTGATATGCTGAGAATATTGCTCAAGCCTCTTTTCTGCCTTCCAAATATGTGTTAAATTAGCTCAGTTGGTCCAGAATCAGTAGACTGCCATCCCTTTTGAGAAGTGAGGAATGACCTATTAGAAGGAGAGCCTGAGGATCAGCCAGTATGAGACGCCCCACTGCAGTTAGTAGCTTAGAGCAGAAGGGAGATGCATTGATTTAGATCCTGGGAATAGGCAGAAGCGTAGCCTATGGCAACTGACCAGAGACTCTAGTGCAGGACAGTTTTCTCTTTCGTGGGAGTTGTCTTCCATCTCTCCTGCCACACATTGGCTCCTTTGTGTTGATGAGGGACATGACTGCTGCCATCTCCCAGCTCATATTCTCACAGTGTCCTGATGAGAAAGGAAAACAGCAAACGCCAGGGGTTGGGGAGACAGAGAATGTCTTCCACTGAGTTCATAAACTCCTGGGGAAGGATTCTTTTGGCCCAAGTGGGGTCACCTGCTTGGTGCTGAACCAGCCGGCTCTGTCCAGGGTGCCGAGCTAGCAAGCTTCCACTGGGACCACATAAGGAGTGCATTTCAGGACGTAGCAGTGTCCTGGACAAAACCAACAGTTACTTCCCATGGTCGATCCAGCTGGATGGGTGTGAGGACTTCTGCTGTGTCAGGGTCTTCCTGAAGTTCTCTGGCTGTCCTTAGAGTGGGGGCTTCTGGGAGAGCTGGAGCCTTCCAGTTTGTCCCCTGAGGCCTATCCATTGGCAGTAGCTGCCTGATGGGAAGAGATGGTCTTCCTATCCCAGTGGGCCTCGGGGTGCCTGCAAGGACCTCGTGCGAGCTCACAGCCATGAAACGTATCCAGGCTAGGAAGACCTCAGTGGCTCTTCTAACTCAACTCTTTCATTTTGTATCTGAAAAAAACTCAAGGCTACGAAGGGGAAAGTGACTTTCCCAAGAGCACACAGTCTGTCAGTGGCTGAGCCCTAACCAGACCCCAGGACCCCAGGTCTCTGACTCGGAGGCTGAGGTTCTTTGCACCTTCCCACACTGTCAAAGGTCAGGGTCAGAATGTCACATCCATGTCCACGTGACCCGGGGGAGAGCACAGGCTCTAGAACCTGACCTCTCACATTTGAGAGTTGGCAGATTTTAGGTAAGTGACTCACCCGGCCAGTGGCTTCATTCTCCTGTTCCTGTGAAGGAGTGATGATAACACAGGCCTCACAGGGTCTTTGGGGGTCAAATGAGCAAATGAATGTGAAGTGCTTAACCCTCAGCCTGATGCGTAGTGGGTGTTCCGTCCATGCAGCCACTCATTTTGCCTGTTTGTGGGGCCAGTGGGAACTGAGGCAGGGCCTGCAGCGGCTCACAAGACAATTGGCCACCATTCGAGCAGAGGGCCAGCCTCTAAAATAGCCCTGTAACCCCTGTAACTTTGCCTCTTCCAGGAGCCAGTTTTTCCTGCGGTATCCGTGGTCATTGTGGTCCTTGAAGTTTTCTTGTACTGTCCTTGTAATGGGACTGATGGTGCCAGTTTCTTTCAGCATATTCCCACAGATTGGACGGGTAAGTGACCCCTTGGACTTCCTCTAAAAAAAAAAAAAAACCCAAAAAACTATTTCTTCCCCTTGTTATCAGAGTGAAATAAATTATTCTCTGAAAAAATTTGTGAAGTTTACGAAAGTATAAGACATTTGCACATAATCCCATTCCCCAAAAGACTTATCCAGCTTTGGATTCTGTTTTTCTTAATGGTATATCAGAAGCATTTTTCTGGGACGTTAGAGAAAAAAAAAACAACTTTGAGATATTTTATAATCTGTAGCGACGCCCCACCCAGTGGGACTTTGTGCAGTGTTCTGCATCTGTGCTGTCCAATATGGTAGCTGCTCATGACGTGTGGCTGTTGAAACGTGGCTAGTGTGACTGAGGAACTGGATTTTTAATCTGGTTTAATTTTGTTTTGTTTGGGGGGGAGATAATTTAGGCTTATTTATTTTAATGGAGGTACTGGGAAGTGAACCCAGGACCCCATGCACGCTAAGCACACGCTCTACCACTGAGCTATGCTTTCCCCGCTAGTTTAATTTTATTTTAACTTATGTGCTCACATGCAGCTAGTGGCTACTGTTCCAGACAGCGCAGTTCTGTAGACCAGGATAGATGATGATCTATGATGAGTCTGACTGCCTGGACTCAAGTTCCCAGTTCCTCCACGACCATAGTCAGTTTGCTTAAACTCTCTGATGCTCAGTTTCTATGAAAGACAGATGAAGATCACAGTACCTCGGCAAAACCTTGTTGCTGGTATCAAGGACGTTTTCAGTGTAAGATATTATCGATTTCTGGCATTTCTTGGCTGAAAATTTCAAATGCTTGTTGCTGTCACTGAAGTTAAAAAATCACTCATGTCCTCAAAAGCATTTGTATTTATGGAATGATCTTGTTCGAAACCCAAGTTGTAAGTTTAGGTTTATAGAGTCATTAATACTGGCAACCTTAACAGCACATAACATAGAAGTTTTAAATTATTTCAGATGGTTCCTATACTCATTATGAGGTCGGTAAAGGTTGGAGAGGTGGGCGTAAGGGGTACACAGAGCCCAGGAACCCTGACCAGGCTGAGAGTGGAGCAGGGGGCTTCAGGGGATCCAAGGAAAGGAATCTTTGGGCGTTCCCTTCACTGGCGTTGGGGTGTCAGAATCCAGAATTGGCGAGTTTGTTGTTGGATAACCAGGCTCTCCTTCCACTTGCTTTGTATGGATTAAAGTTACGATGTGTAATGGGATTCATTTTTCTGGGGTCAGGAGTAACTTGGTTTTGCTCCTCGGCCAGTGGCCTCTTTCTATGGCTGGGGCCCTTGTGGGTACATGGTCACCCTCAAGAAGCTGGGCCCGGGACAGCGTGTCAGCAGTCAGCCTTCACCACTGCCATTCTGTGCCCCACAGCCGGATGCCACTCCCTGGCCTTCTGGAGTCAGACAGCTGCTAACTTAAGTTACATGGCTGAATGGGCATGCTCAGGTCCTTGGGCCAGTGAGGGAACTGTAGCCAAAGTGGGATTGCAGTGGAGCCCAGGCGGGGCTGGGTGCACTGGGAAGGGGCAGCGTGGGCAGAGGGAACAGCTGGGACACAGGCACGGAGGTCTCTTGCGTGGCCCACCCGGGACACTCTGAGGGGTTGCAGGTGGCTGGAGTGTGTAGGAGAGGAAGCTTCAGGGTATTCCCACTTACAACAAGTGAGGCCCCTGTGTTATCCAGTCCCTTCTGTGTCCTGGGCAGTTGTCCTCAGAAGTACCCTTCAAGGTAGTTTGTATTCCCATTTTGCAGATGGAGCGCCTGAGGCTCAGGGGAAATGTGAAATTCCCTGATAGGTTATTCAGCTATGGTAGGCAGGGCAGGTGTGCCGGTTCTGGCCAGATGATGAAAGGCCTCACCACCCCCACAAGGTGATGGAACTTTTATCCTGGAGGCAGCGGGGCGAGTGGCTTAGCAGGCTGTACTTTAGGAATGTTACTCTGGACCCCACACTGTAGGTGGAGATAGTTGGGAGGCTGTAAAATTATCCCCACAGCAGGGTGAAGGGGGCTCAGAGCAGACCCGTGGTAGTAGGTTGGAGAGAAATACTTGAGTTGGGTAAGTCAGAACTTCTGAGCAGATTGGGGGTGAAAGTGTTGCAGAGAAGGGGACCTAGGGGCACCCAGATTTCTGGCTCAGGTACGACGCCAAGAGCCGGGACCAAGAACTAGGACTGCATCTGGTTGTAACTGAGATCCAGAACAGTGCCTCGAACAAGGGGGATGTTTATGTCTCATTCACATAAAGTGAGGGGTGGCCAGGCCAGGTAAGACACCTGTGTGTCATGAAGTCCTCAGGAACCTGGGCTGCTTCCAGCTCAGCACGCCGCCCACCCCGGGGTTGGCCCTCATCCTTAGGGAGCAAGATGACATTCTCATTCTCCACAGTCACCTGGCTTGTCTGCTTTCATCACCGTGACAGAACTGAGTCATGTGCAGGGGAAGCTAGGAAATAAAGTCTTTCTTTTGGACCTATTTAAAGTTCTGCTGCTGTGGAAGCAAAGAGCAGATGTCGGGGGCGGGTGGCAGTTTCTGCCAGAGGCTTTAGCAGGAAGGGTAACATGGTATGGAAATGACTCTTACGTGACAGAAAGTAAACATGACTGAGAGGCTATGGGGAGATTAGGGAAGGAAGAGAATTTCTAACTGATCCAGGAAGGCTGCATGGAAGAGGTAGGCTTTGGATATGGATGGATTTGAACAGGCAGAGATGGGGAAGGAAGGGGCATTCCCAGTGCAGAGAGCAGGAGGGCTGAGGAGTCCAGTGTACCTGGACACGTGTGGCTGAACGTGACTGACAGGATGCTTGGGGCAGGTGGCGGGGCCTGCACTGCTAGGCCAAGGAAGCAGACCCTACTCCAAAGGCAGTAGGTGGTTTGTGCAAGTCTTAACGGGTGCAGGGCTCTTAGAGGCCAGAGTGGAGGCAGGAAATGGAGTCCATCTACCCTTGAGATACCTCCAGCCCCCGCCAAGCAAGTCCTGGCATTTGCTGGGCTTTTAAAATACCTTGTTACTCCAAGGTGGGCATGGAAGCGGCTGAATGGTGGGCCTGGGCTAAGCGGAGCCCCACTTGCCTGTCCTGCCTGGGGTGGCTTGCAGAGAGAGCCCCAGGCTGGGAGTGATTCTCTGCCCCAGGGCACCTCCTTAGACATTGCATGGGGTGCAGTGAATTTCAGGTCTGGAACCTCAAGGACCTCAACGAGGAAACTTGTCCTTCCCAAAGCTCCTTTTCCGTTAGCCACCTCTGCTTGCCAGTGTCAGCTGGTACTTCTGCCACCCTGCTAGCCTAGAAATGTGGCATGGTATTTCGGACTGTTGTTAATTTTGTCAGGTGTGATAATAGCATGTAGTTGTGTGACAGAGGCTTTATCATTTGGAATTTCATACTGAAGTATTTGTACGTGAAATACTGATACATCTGAGAATTGCCTTAAAATACTCCAGAAAACACCCCACAACTCGGTATGGGAGATGCTTGATGAAATAAGATCGGCAGACTGTTAATAGTTAAAGCTGAGTGATGAGTATATGAGGATTCACTATATGTTTTTGGCATTTGTTAACATTTGAAATTTTCCATGAAAAAGTTTTTAAGAAGTTAATGTTTTTTGCTATAGATTAGACATCACTGAAAAAGCTAGAATGTGAAATAGATGCTTTCTGAAAAAAAAATTTTTTTTAACTTGGCTTCTAAGGCAAGAAAACTTTCTTAATATGAATGTTAAGAATTTAACTTTGTTTTTCAGATACAGTGCAGCGAGCTGGAAAAGGAAATTCAATCTGCAACAGAAGAAACAGAACTCTTCTATAACAGAGGGGTGTAGGGGTGAGTTTTAGGTGAATCTGTTTGGTTCCTGCAGTGAAAACCTTCCTCCTAAGGTTTCAGTTTCAGGAACTCTGCCAGAGGTGAACTGGGAATCCCAGAGGTGTCCGCGGCGACAGGAAAGCTTACGATTACACCTGCCGAGATGATTTTGAGGCTGGTTGTGCCCAGGGTTAAACAAGCCTGGATGGAAGAAGAAAAATGGGGGTCTGTCCTGTCTGACCCACCCCGTGGGGCTGCTGAGGGGATGTGTGATGTAAGATCAAGTGTTCTGTTTGTTCCTCATCCTGTGAAGGGATACTGCGAAATTGCTAATAAACTTGTCTGTGGTTGAGTAGTTGAAAACGAAGGACAAAGGTCCACCACGCCCACGTGGCACAGGGACTAAGCTGATGCCCCACCTCAGGGTGCACGTGTAGTGAGCCGGTGAAGGCCTTCAGCCCCCAAAACAATCCCGTTTCCTGCCTCAGCTTCTTCCTGTCCTGGAAACAGCTGAAGATCTTTGCCAGCTCCTTCTTCCTCTTCAGTGGCCAATGACCCTGTCTTCTCTGCACAGTGAAAACCAAGGGTGTCACCCTCCTGGCAGCAAACCTGCTGACCTCCTTTCTCCGAGGTCGGCTGTGCCCGACCCTCCCTGTTTCTTTTGGACCTTCTCTGCAGCTGCCACTGTCCCTCTGGCTCCAGCCTCAATTCTCTGCTCCTTCCCAGTAGCCTTTAAACTGCTTGAGTCACCTGCCTCATGAAAAAAGCAACCCCCCCGCCTCTGTAGCCAAACATTTTCAGAGGTTTCTATCCTGTTTCCATCCCACCTTCCACTAAGAACTGCTGCCATCCATGCCCGCCCCTCCCCACCGCAAATCCTCTTCATACGTCCACTCTGCCGGCTGCGCAGGCCTGTCATGGGCCTTGCTCTCCCTGGAGCAACAGGCCCACGTCCAGTTGCCCCTTGCACTCTGCCATTTGGATGTCCACTTGAGACCACCTTTCCCTCCCACTCTCAGGAGCTGGTACCACCACTTCCCCAGTTTCATCACTCAGGACCACTAGCATCACCCTTACCCTGCCCTCCCCCATCCCATTCAACAGACTCAGCCCAGCAGTGTTAATTTAAGTCTCTAGACCTCACCCCTCTGCATCCACTGCTCCCACCCCAGCTCGGTCCAGCAGCATCCCCCACTGGTATCACTCATCTTACCCGCTGTCTGGCTGCCTCCAGTCTACCTCCAGCCTGTTCTTCTGAAGCACACCTGCTCAAAAGCCTTCAGTGGCCTCCCAATGCATCAGGATCAAGTCCAGATTTCTTGCTGTGGCACGCAGGAGCCTTTACATTATTCATCGCTTGCCACTCCCTCTCCTCACTCTGGACCAACATCCAGTTCCTCAGATGTGCTGTGGTCTCTCTTCCTTGGGCCTTCCCACAAGCCTTCCCCTCTGCTCTGGGCTAACGCCTGCCTATGCTTCAGGTCTGACTTGGATGTCAATCTCTCTTCTCCAGGAAGCCTTCCAGGAGTCACCATACAGAATTAGGCGCCCTCTCCTGCAGCACTCATACCGTGCCTGGCACTTGCCACACTGCAGTGCG